TATATTAAAAATAGCTGAGGCATAGCTCACTTAAAACTGATTTTCTCAAACACCGGGCTTCGCTTGGAGCAGCATTTCCAAACAGAAAGACACTTTTTCTCAACACTCCGGGAGCCTCGTGGCTTCCTTCGGTTGCTAGGGGTTTACCTAGGCTTAGGGGGTGGTTAGGGGACTTAGCGAGAGAAAGTAGAGAGAGAAAGAGAGGGTGAAAGGTGTGACAAATATGAAGGATTCACCCTTTATTTATAGGGGTTTTATCGTAGAGTAGTCTCTAAGCTTCATCCGTATCTTCCGCATACGAGCTCCATTTTCTACATTCTTTATATCCATGTGTTGGTTTTTACAAGTACAACAACTTTAATTTAGACCCCGTCCACTAATTCTCATTGTAGCTTAGATTTACAAAACTGTATCGAATTCGTCGCGCTTGAAGAGTAGAGACTAAGTTTCGTCCATATATTTCTCATACGAACTCTATTCTCGATGTTCTATATATCCACATGTTGGCATTTACAATTAATACAATTTTCATTTAGACCTTGTCGTCCAATTCTTATTCTGTCTCAGATTTACAAATCTGCATCGAATTCGCCGCGCTTGAAGAGTAGAGACTAAGCTTCATCAATATATTCTGCATACGAGCTCCGTTTTTTACTGTCTTTTTATCATTTAACTCATATTAATGATATCTTCATTTCTCATTTAGATTATTTTGGCTAAAAATCGACCGATCTAAAATTTGAATTTCCAGGCTATTTGTTGTTATGCTAAATCTTAGAAAAATAATAACTTCCAACTACGAAGTCAGATTTAGACGTTCTTTTTATTTACACTATCGGTTTAACATATACTACGACATTCATTTAGATTTCTAAGGCTAGAAAGTAATTTATCATAATATCACTTTTTACGACTCCCGGTGTCATGTCGGTTTTGCCGTAAAGCTTCGACGGGTCAAATCTTGTTTGTGATAACTCGGATTTCGGTGTTCTTTGTATGTATGGAACCCTTGAGACATACTCTGAAACTTGGTTAATATTATTTATTCTAAATAAGCTTTTGTCAAAAAGTCATTTTCGGTACTTATTACCTCTAAATTGACTAGCATGTATTTGCGGGCGTTACAAATATCTTCCCCTTAGGATTATTACATCCCTTAATCATCAATGAAACAGGACTGTAAAATGATTTCATACATTTTCTCTTCATCCTAGGTAATAAATGTAACCTCTATATTTCTTCGAACGAGTATTCGACTCTTTGACTTCTTGGCTGCATGCGGTGCTTGATCTTACTACCGCACTATGTCTCATATCATGCTTTCAATCATGACCTTCCTGTCACAATCTCGACCCTAATTGGAGACTCTTTCTTCTTATTAGTAACTTAATATAAGTTCCTTCCTTTTATTTTTATAATAGACCGATGGGTCACGTTCTAATTACCTCTCATCGTATGATGCAACTTTCAGACTCAGGTCTTTTAGAGTCAAATTTCATAATGGAATATACTTTCCTTCATGCTCTAATGTGATATAATCACATTTTAACATGTAGCATTCTTAACTACCAACTTCTTTAACAATGATCACGATACTTCTATTGATTGCTTTGATTATCTTTCACTTTAATCTTCTGGCTTAAGTCGGATGCTACATCAAACTTGGTTCTTTGAGCCACGTAACATAATCATCTTAGTCAGACTTGATTTGATATGACCATTTGGGTCGGAATAACAATCTTCTTCTTAGTCATTACCTAAATGATGGTAACGACATACTTGAACAAAATGGAATCAATTACCAGCTTCTTGGTAACCTTGTGACT